TAGATTAAAGTTTCTACCCCTTCTACCAAACCATCAGTCTATAACAAATATTTCTTTTCATAATTTATTCAATTAAATATTCATTTTTTATTCATATCCAAACATTTTTTTGTTGCCATTTATTTATCAAGTCAGATTGTAGATTAAAGTTTCTACCCCTTCTACCAAACCATCAGTCTATAACAAATATTTCTTTTCATAATTTATTCAATTAAATATTCATTTTTTTATTTATATCCAAACATTTTTGTTGCCATTTTTTTATCAAGTCGGATTGTTGATTAAAGTTTCTACCCCTTCTACCAAACCATCAGTCTATAACAAATTTTTCTTTTCATAATTTATTCTGTTAATTAAATATTAATTTTATTTATATCCAAACATTCTTTTGTTGCTATTTATTTATCAAGTCAGATTAAAGTTTCTACCCCTTCTACCAAACCATCAGTCTATGACAAATTTTTCTTTTTATATTTTATTCTGTTAATATTCATTTTAGTTATATTCAAACATTGTCCTACCCAGGGGACCATGACCTAGTGGATTAAAGTTATTGGTTTTTGAATTTGGTGATATTGTGATTGTGAGTTCAATCCTTGGTTCGGGAAGTGTTTACTTGCACTTAATGAAAATAAGCAAGCAATAAGTGCTTGAGAAGAACCTGTTGGCATAGAACTTACGGTTACATCTAGACATTTCAACTGTAAAATGATGAAACCTAGCTACCAATGTTAGTACTGCGCTTAAATTCATTAAGGTGTAAAAGAAGGTTCATCAGAACAATTACTATGAAAATATTTATAAAGATACATATGATAATTATCCGTTTCCCTACAAGGAAACATTTGGCATTCACTGACTGAGAAACCGGTAAATTAAGTTTGGATTGGTTTGTTTTGTTTTACAGCATATTGTAGAGGGGCCGTGACGGTTACCACTTGTTGAGGGTTCATGGCGTGGCTGTTATGTTGTTGATAGAAGTCAGACGTAGAAGGAACGCAAGTAAGGTTCAGATACTCCTGCCCGCCGAGCCCAACTACATAAAAAGGTTGGACTTTGATTAAGTCCAAAGAAGAAGGCAAAGAAAAGCAAACAAAACACAAGACCGATAATATATGTATATACAAAAATATGTTAATAACAAGTTACAATACATGGAAACAGTACAAAGGACGAAGTGTGTGTGAATATTCTGTATGTGCGTGCGTGTGTGAATATTCTGTATGCGCGTGCGTGTGTGAATATTCTGTATGTGCGTGCGTGTGTGTGTATTGTGTTTAGCGTGTTTCCACGCTATCCCTTGTTAGCGTCTACATTTCGAGGTTGATAGCTGAAATCCTGAAGGAAAAAGAGAAATTTACCTCAAGGTGTCAGTGCACAGACCTGAAGGAAAAAGAGATAGAGGCAAAGGCTCAGCGGCTATTTATAGCCAGGGAAGAGAGACCCCTGGTGAAAGGGTTAACGGAGTGAAGGAGGAGTTAACTCCGACAATATCAACCACAATGGATTATTTAATGCCGACAATTTTTATTGCTGGTAATATTTTCCTTCAAAAATCTATTTCTGGTAATATATTTTTTTTTCATCAAAAATCTATATCTAGTAATATTTTTTTCTCCAAAAAAGATATCGCTGGTAATATTTTTCATAAAAATGTATAGCTGGTAATATTTTTTTAAATGTATTGCTGGTAATAATTTTTATAAAGTATTACTGGTATTAGAACCTATTTTTACACATTCATAGTGTTTTGACCCCAGTTTGGGTGATTAACTATTTACCCATAGCTTGGACCCTAACAGATGCTACTACCCTGGGTCTGGGTGAACCTGGGAACACCAGCAATTAAGAGGTGGTTCCGTGCTCCTCGAAACCGCCTTGCCATCGGATGTAGTTTATTGCCTTACCCAGGACGCGACGTAGTTTATTGTCTTACCCAGGACGCGGACGTAGTTTATTGTCTTACCCAGGACGCGGACGTAGTTTATTGTCTTACCCAGGACGCGGATGTAGTTTATCGTCATACCCAGGACAGCCAGTAGATTAAATAAAGGTTTCAGTTCAGAATACTTTCTAGGTTACCTAGATCGATATACACCTGAGGAAGGTCGGAGGTAACAACGGCCGAAAAATATGAGGACAAAAGCCTGAATATAAATAGTTTAAACAAAATTTAAAAATTCTTTTGTTTCCTTTCATTTAACAAGTTTGTTTGTAACATTGACGTTTCTACCCCATTTATTAGACCATCAGTCTATAAAAATTATTTATTTCATATTTTATTCTATTAATTAAATATTCATGAAACCTTTTGTTTCCTTTCATTTTTCCAAATTTGGTTGTACATTAAAGTTTTTACCCCTTCTACCAAGCCGTCAGTCTATGACAAATGTTTCTTTTCATGTTATTCTGTTAAATATTCATCAACCTTTTTGTTTCCTTTCATTTACCAAATTTAGTTGTACATTGAAGTTTCTACCCCTTCTACCAAGCCGTCAGTCTATAACAAATTTTTCTTTTCATATTTTATTCTATTAATTAAATATTCATCAAGCCTTTTGTTTCCTTTCATTTATCAAGTTTCGTTGTACATTAAAGTTTCTAACCCTTTCTACCAGGCCGTCAGTCTACAACAAATTTGTACATCGAATTACCTTTATTAATCATTTTCTGTTTGTTTTCAGGCTAAATGAAGGGGAAACACTAAGTGAGAAACTCTTGACTGTCTGTGAGAAACTCATCACCGAGCTTATCATTGTCAAGTCTTCGAAGCAATTAATATCTTCAGTGGCAATGAAGCAGCCGACATACGACATTTTTGTGTCATATCCCACGAAACATGGCGACAAAATGAAAGTTGTGTATGAAATTCTTTGCAGACATAACCCAAACTTGAATATTTTCTATGACAAATTAGAGCTACAGACAGGTGAGAAAAATAATAAAAAACAAATTCCTCTTCTCTCCCTCTCATTTTCTCCCCTCTCCGTTTCAGCATCATAATCATCATATATATCTCTCTTGTTCATGTCTCAGGCTGTTTACATTGACTTTGGTCTGCTTGTAACTATCGATCTATCTATGCTCATTCATATCTATCTATCTATCTATCTATCTATCTATCTATCTATCTATCTATCTATCTATCTGATTCTGTCCATATCTACCTATCTATCTATCTTGAGGACATCAATGTGTATACATTTTTGGAACTTATAAACCTAATATTTCAGTTTCATTTTTTTTCTTTTTTTGCCAGAGCTCATATTGCAATTTTATTGTTATTATTTCTTTTTCTGTAGCACTCCTTATTACTGGTTCCCATATTGTATTCATTTCTATGCTTGGTAGGCTTAGGAGATTTTTGTGGCCTAGCATATGTATTGATTCCTCAAGTTTTTGTATTTTCCAGTGATGTTCTCTGTCTATTATTTCAACCTCATCCCACAAGGGGGGGGGCGGTGATTTCCCTTTTCCCTCTATATGTGGTCAGCTATGCGTGATTTTTTTTTATTTCCCTTTGTGTTGTAATATGGCATGGTGGATAAAAGCGTTGGTTGGATCCAGTGACTTGAGCCAAAGGGCTGTGAGTTCAATACCTGGCTACTGCAGTGATAAACAAAAACTTGGAGAGTTGAGTTAAAGGGAGATAACTGAGACATCCGGAAGAGGCATGGTACATGGAACTAGAACACTCTACCCAAGAATTCGAGATTCCAACCGCCCGAAGACGGCCGGAGAAACATCGTGAATATGGCAATAAAGATGAGGAAAACAGTCCAAACAATGTAAATAATTACAATACCTCATCTCAAAAATGTAGACAAATCTATCTATTTATCTATCTAAACCTATTCATTATCTATCTATCTATCTATCTATCTATCTATCTATCTATCTATCTAAACCTATTCATTATCTATGTAAACCTATTCATTATCTATATAGCTATCTAAACTTATTCATTATCTATCTATCTATCTATACCTATTCATTATCTCTCTATCTAAACCTATTCATTATCTATCTATCTATCTAAACCTATTCTTATCTATCTATCTAAACCTATTCATTATCTATGTAAACCTATTCATTATCTATATAGCTATCTATCTAAACCTATTCTTATCTATCTATCTATCTATCTATCTATCTATCTATCTATCTATCTAAACCTATTCATTATCTCTCTATCTAAACCTATTCTTATCTATCTATCTATCTATCTATCTATCTATCTATCTAAACCTATTCATTATCTATCTAAACCTATTCATTATCTATAAAGCTATCTAAACTTATTCATTATCTATCTATCTATCTATCTATCTATGTAAGCCTATTCATATGTATCTAACTAGCTGGCTATCCCTGTTCATTCAGTCGATTCCAAATATTTCAACGCGTCCTTGTGGGTGACAAATTATTTTCCATTCTACAACCCATTTCTCACAGACAAAACATAACACGCATCTTGTGGCTCTATCACTATTTCAATGGAAAGTGCTCAGATGAACTCCATTCCTTAGTTCCACCAGTTCTAACCTTCATGGTTAAGACCGGCCCTGCTATGCACATTGTTGCGAACGAACCCCATTCCCTTCATGCTCCATTGGTGAGATGAAAGTTCCACTCGAGCAGCTTCTTCCCACGAACCGCTGCTTTGTGGTACCGACTCCCAAGAGGATTCTTCCCTGATCACTACAAGCTTAACCTGGTCAATCTAGGGTTGACTCTTAAAATTCCCCACATATCTGCATAAACAAAGCCTCTTACTCTGGATTGGCTCACGGGCCTTATACCGGCTGTTCATCATTGTAAAAAAAATCTATTTATCTGAGTCTGTTCATTATCTATATTACTATTTGTCTATCTCAGAATTGATTGATTGATTTATATTTTTTATGGTTTATCAACCCTTTGTAGATTAGTTAATGCCAAGACATATTTTGGATTATCATAATAATTCGTTTATTTGTTGTTGTTTTTTTTGCAGTTGAATATTGCATTAGTAATTTTTTGTGAATAACAATTATTCTACCATATACAAGTTCTACTATTTAACCTATAGGTAGGGGATTTGGTTTAATAGACTTCCTACCAGTATTTGTGTTTAAGTGAATGTATCTCCTCAGTTGCTATCCATTACACTACCCACGCATCCCATAATTTGGGAAATGCTTGAGAGGAGCATTTTGTCCTCTTTATACGTCAATTGATCATTTTCAACGAGTATTTTGGTATTATTCATGTTATATCAAAAAACAATTCAGGGTAACCCCTGTCAACCATGACAGTAGGAATAACAGCTTCTTATTGTCAGTACTACTTGTGTGTTAAAGTAGTTATGAAGAAGTGATTTATCCAAGGGTTCGTGATGAACTTGCTTTTTCCTCAACTAATGTTGGCTTTTGGTCAAAATCTATTATAAAAGGACAAAGCAAAGTGATTCCAGGACCCGCATTCGAAGTGAGTACAAATGACCACAGCCAGAAATTGAATTTTTTTTTCTCAGTAGGAGTAGATAGGTTCGTCTATCGCCCGGTTCGCCTATCGCCCGGTTCGTCTATCGCCCGGTTCGTCTATCGCCCGGTTCGCCTATCGCCCGGTTCGTCTATCGCCCGGTTCGTCTATCGCCCGGTTCGTCTATCGCCCGGTTCGTCTATCGCCCGGTTCGTCTATCGCCCGGTTCGTCTATCATTCAGTTCGCATTGGCAATGCGATTCGCAATCCTTTACTGGTGCAATTGTTTCTGTTGTGTTGTAGAAAACAAAAATAAAATATTGGGGGGGGGGGCTTTGTTTTGTGGGGATCTTTGTAATTCGCTTCTTTCAACTAGAAAACAAATACTCAATAATAAAATTTACGTAAAATTGTAAAGCAGTGTTTGAAGATTACTTCTTTCTTCGCTTTTCACATGCTTTTTTTCTCTACAAATACTGGTGACCGCCGACTTATCAAACACATTTGCAACGGTTTTCCTACACACACACACACACACACACAGAGAGAGAGAGAGAGAGAGTGAGAGAGAAAGAGAGAGAGAGAGAGAGTTTCATCCCTCTATCTGATCTTTCTACCTTTTTTTTATCTAATCATCTCTCAGTTAAGCATCAGCCATGCTGATCAAAAGCGAAAAGAGTTCTCTTAGACGATTAAAAGAAAGTAGTTTTATTTTGGAGGTGTTAAAATGAACAAGTCATTCCTTGTCAATTTAACCACTTCAAACTGTTTAGCCGTATTATTAACTCTTACCATTGAAATATATTTTAGAATTATGCGAACATACATCTTATAATAAATGCGAATGTCAATTCCAGCTTAAAGGGACACAACTCTCTAACTTTCAATAGCTCATTTCAAATTAAAAAATGACAAATTACAGTGTTTTAAAATAAAATTGTCCGTGTTTTCAACTTTATTCTTATCATTACCATTTTAGAATCAGGCCGACTCCGTGAGCAAATTAAAAACATTCTGAGCCGGATCCGGATCCGAAGCCGCAATCCTGAAATTTTGGATTTCCAAATTTTCATTACTGCGATTGTTTTCGGCGATTTTTTAAGTGATTTTTTGGGACGAATTTTTTTGTCCGATAACAATTTTTATAAGTTGAAAATAAATTTGGGAATAATCGAAATTAATTGCGAAATCCAGCGAAAGTCACCATGAAATAAAAATAAGTGTTTGTGCAGAAAGTAACGACCTACGTACATGAAATTGTCTTTAAATTAAAATGGCGGCAGAAGAATTATCGTTGAACTGTTAAAAGGTAAGCTTAAATATTAATGCAATACTTAAATGCAGCATTCAATTTTGAGTTCTTCTGTAGTTTATTGTTGCCTATTGCATCTACTCCTCCCTACCTATTGTTATGAAAGCTCAACCAAGAGCCCTCCGCAGGAGCTAGCTTAAATGCCGCACGATAGGCCGGCTTTTAAGCTAGTCAGCTATATAAGTAGACATTTTTGTTCCACTGATGCAATTTCGTTTCATTTCAGGTAGTAACTGGCAACAGGCCATCTATGACGCGTTGGAAGTAGTCAAGTGCTGCCTAATCTTGGTGGCTCCTGCCTACTTTGAGTCGGCCATGTGTCAAGAGGAATTCAACATTGTTATGACCCGTTGCTTTTCTGAAAAACAGGTAAAGATATCTTGATGGCCAGCTGTTAACATGGCTGATACTAACTTTAAAATTTGACCTCCATTTTTTTCCGTCCTGGGTATGACGATAAACTACAACCACGTCTTGGGTATGACGATAAACTACATCCACGTCTTGGGTAAGACGATAAACTACATCCAGCAGCAAGGCCTCTGATTAGGAGGCTTTGAGGAGTATGGAACCACCTCTTAGTTGTTGTTGTTCCCAGTTCCACCCTGACCCGGGGTGGTAACACCTGTCAAGGTTCCAACTATGGGCAAATAATTAACATCCCAAACTGGAGTCAAAACACCATGAAAGTGTAAAAATAGGTTTTAATACCAGCAATACGTTTTTGTAAAAATTTACCTGTAATAAATTTTTGAAGAAAAATTATTACATATTATATTACCGGCAATACATTTTTGAAAAAAAATATTATCAGCAATAAAAATCTTGTCGGCATTAAATAGCTCATTGAGGTTGATATACCATAAAACAAAGCAAACCAAGCCAAACCACCATTTTTGTTGCTGATGTAACCAAAGTCTTTCATTGATGTAAACAAAGTCTTTCACTCCTGCACCAAACATCCACCAATCAACATATGGACACAACGAGGCAAAACCAAAAATGCCCACGAGACACACACAAACACTTTATCATTCAAATTCCGCATGACCAACTAGGAATATGATACACAGAGACGCCATCATCTCACTACCATCTTTAGAAATTATACGCACAGACACTACAGACCAACACAAAAACGTCCACTAGAATCCAAATGTACACACACACACACACACACACACTCATTAACGCCACATTCCAAAGACACGTGAAGTTTATCTGACCAATGGAAAACAAAAAGCAAAGAACTAAAAGTAAGAGAACTTTTTTCCATAACTCATTTCCCCCCCAAAAAAAAAAAAAATTCTGATGGAGCTTAAATAAAAGCGAAACATATTAAATTTAAAAATGTTTACTATTTGTTACTTAGCCTATCATAGGGTAAATGAACTTTGCTTGAATGTGTGACGCCATTCATGGCGGAATTTGTGACAAGTTTTGTGATGACGTTCTCCGATTGTCCGTGGTTCACTGCACCTGGGATGACATCCAAAGTTGATTATATTTGCATGTACACCCAACTTGTTATGTGCACAGGTTTGTCCTCTCGGTTGTCATTGCTTTAAACAAAAAATGAAGACAATTGTTTTTCAATACTCTCTGGTTGGGAATTAGCAACAATATGATTTCTCACTTAGCCGGCTATCTTTTCCTTTTAGCTGAACTACTATCTCCCTATCTTAGCTGGTCCTCACTGACCTCTGGGCTCGGCGACTTTTGATACCTCACTACCAGTCCTACTGTCGCTGGGCAATTACTAACTCCTCTGGTCACCTAGCTACTTCTCTCACGGCCAAAACACTATATCTTTAATTTTCTGCCACTCCCTGCTTATAGTGATGTTCCAAGCATAGCTTGGATGTGGCACAAGGCCGAAAGTAAGGGGCGTCCAGTGAGGATTGAACTCACTACTCAGTCGTAAATGTTCTAGCGAGACAAGCTTGCTAACGATTACACCACCTCGAGGTGCCCACTCTCTTTGCTTATATGGATAATCGCTTGGGTCCCACCCTCTCCATTTTTGTTCCGGAAGATCTGAGACCACCCCAAAGCCACATGGGTGGTCAAACCTCAAAGGGACTACTTTTATGACTATGTAAAATCATTGATAAATGTTTTATGTTTTGCAATTCAAAGGCAGCTGTAGACATAAATCCCCTAAAACACTGACGCTTAAGTTTACTCAAAGATAGACTGGAGACAAAATTTCTATGAAATTCACATAACTAAATGAATTTAAAAGAAAAGAAATGTATTTACTTATCTTCTAAGGATATGTGAGAAATCATGTTGTTACAACTGTGACAATCTTCTGTAGCTGAGCAATTTAAAAACGCATTGGCCTTAAAGGTGGTTTCTTCTGCAAGTTTGAACCCTGGTGGGAATCAAAATTTCTTTATTAAGACTCTCGAGTGCACAGGCCGTTAGAGGTAGATTTACACTATTTAAAAACAGGGATGACTACTCAAGCACATGTATCCACTAAGTATAATGCTTAAAGTAATAAGAAATTCGAAATTTGGATCCATAAAAAGTATTACGTAGTGTGACATGTTTTGTGGATTACAAAACAACGGACACTGGCTTTTATACATGTAGATTATTTACTATTACTATTTTCTTGATTTTTTTGTTTTTGAAATTTTGAAAGTCTTTTTATATCTAATGGATTTTTTTATCACAGTCCTTAACAATTTGGCGTGTAAGTGGATGAGAATGAACTCTACATGAAAATTAATAACAAAAAAATACACTTCATCACACCTTCAAAAGAATTGATAGAAACTTATAAATGAACCTGATAAAGAAGCCTTCCAGTGCCTAAGCAAAGTATTAAAAAACAAGAAAATTTAATTAGAAACGAAGGACAATATTATGCGCAGATGTGGTTCTACAGAAGGATGCTGAGAATACCATGGATGGAACATATGAGTGATGAGAAAATTTTAAGGAAAATAGGAGCAAAAGCATATGGATACTTAGGATCAAAAGTGACAATTGAAATTTCTGGGCGACAAAATGGAGACAGACAGATTTGTTTTTTACAGTTTGTTAACTCTTTATGGATTATTTAAAGCCAAGACATGTTTTGAATTGTACCTTTTTTCACAAGTGAATATTTCATGAACATTTTTTTTTAAATAACAATGTTTATTTCCAAATACACGCCCCATAGTTTGGGGAAATTGATTTATACCTTTCCCAAAGGCTTTTGTGCATAAGTGGATGTAACGAATCCGACTGGAATTCGAACCTGGCTCCCCAATCTTTCATTTCCGAGCCACTATCACATAATGAGGAAAGAAGTCTTGGAAATTTTAACACTCATAAGACGCTGTGAAGACAATAGAAAAGGGAAACAGGGAATAACCTTACTAACGAGATTGTGTAAATCGATGACGGAATAGAAAGTGGAAGGAACGACATGCACTGCTAAGAGCTACAAAGGATAGAAAATTGTGGAGAGCCGTGATCGCTTATGTCATGAAGTGAAAAAGAATATCCTGCTACCCGAAAGAGAAAGAAAATAGCGAAAGTATAGCGAAAAGAATTAACTTGATATGAAATTGCATTCTTTTTTAACAATGTCATGTAGAGACTCCATTTACAACATACCTTTAATTATCCTTTGCTACTTTGCGAAACAGGTGGATGTGAGGGTGGTGTAATGGAAATCATATCTGTCTATATTTCTGAAATGAGGTATCATGTACATTATTTACATTATTCGGACTATTGTCCTCATCTTTGTCGCCATATTTATTACAACGTTTCGGCCGTTGTACGCTCCGGCCTTTTTCAGGTGTTTGGAATGTCGAACTGAACCCTTTATTTCGCTCACTTGGGTAGACTGTTTTAGTTCCACGTGCCATGTTTAATGGATGTCAGTTATCAGTTATCTCCTGTTAATTTCCCTCTGAAGGTTCTCCACTGCCTTAACCGGGTATTGAACTCACACTCTTTGGGTCCTGTCACTGGATCTAACCTGAAGACATTAGGTTTATAATATCCAGAAATTCATACACAGATGTCCTCAAGGACACATAGCACAGTGGATAAAGGCGTCCCAGTGAGCGAAATAAAGTGTTCAGTTCGACATTCCAACCACCTGAAGAAGGCCGGTGCGTACAACGGCCGAAACGTTGTAACAAATATGGCGACAAAGATGAGGACAATAGTCCGAATATTGTAAATATTGTGAAACAGGTTCCCGTGTGAATTATTTCCTAATAATTTTCTTAACCTCTTCAAGTCAAGGGTTAATTGTTATCTATCCTTCTTATCGTCATTATCTTCTTTCCCTGGCAGCTCCTCTTTCATTCATATCACACACCTCATTGATCATAACCATTTTAACAGTAGCCCTTTGCGCTACAAGCTTAAACTCTTTAAGACAAAGGTCGCTCATTACCTATCCTTCTTATCCTCATAATCAGTTTTTATCACTAGTCCTGAGTATGACGATAAATTACATCCTGCACCAAGCCTCTGATCGGGAGGTTCTGAGGAACGTAGAACCACTTCTTAATTACTGTTGTTCCCAGGTCCACCCTGACTCGGGGTGGTAGCACCTGTTAGGGTCCCAGCTATGGGTAAATATTAATATAATGAACCCTCAAACAAAAAGAAAACATTATGAAAGTATAAAAATACCAGCAATACATATAATAAAAATACCAGCAATACATATATATATATATATTAAAATTACTAACAATACAATTTTAAAGCAAAATAACCAGCTATACATTTTATATTAAGATATACCAACAATACATTTTGTAGCAGAATTACCAAAAATACATTTTATCGCAAAATGACCAACAATCTCTTGTTGATTGCGTTCAAAATATATTTAGTTAAGACATAAAATTATGTTCGAAGTATTTAGATTTCGGCATTAAATAACCCATAAAGGTGTTGATATGTCGCTAAACGCAATCAACCAACCAACTTCTTACAACTCCCTCTTTAATTCATATCATAAACCTCATTGACCACAAACATTTTAACAGTAACCCTCTACCCTGAATGTCTCTCTGGCTTACTATTGGGCGAACTTTGGTATAAAAAAAAGTAAATAAAATATAAAATAGATAAAAATGTGTAGCATGTGGATATATTAGGTTGAGCTTTAAATAAATTTCGTTTTTGGACCAATTGTAAAAAAAAAAACAAAAAAAAAAAAACAGTATTGATGGTTATTTCCTAATCGTAGTCTTAGACGTGAAACGTAAGCATAAAGCAGTCAGCGAGGATCGAACTCACTACTAGTTGTTCTCGCTAACCATTACACCACTTTCTTTTTAAGCATTTCACCCCAAGCAAGGCAGGAGCGCCACTAGCACGCAGGGGTTTACGGAGAGTGAAAATGAGAGAAAAGATTATGTGTAGCGGGGATTGAGGAAAGGAAAAAAGTCAGGGATCAAGGCAACAGGAGATGGCGATTAACAGTGCATTTAAATTTTTGAAAATTGTAGTTATCAGGAAGTGCGAGGAAAGAAACTGTTGGAGTAGAAGTGGCGGTTACATTTAACTATTTTAACAGTAAAAGGGTGGGACCTATATGCCAATCTAGTAGCACGCTTAAATTCATGTAGTCGGGCACCAGGGAAAAAATCTCGTCAGAGCAGTTGCCATGAAAATATTTGTAGAAAAGACAGAGGGAAGACACATCACATCTGTGTGAAAGTGTCTGAAGACGAGAAGCCAATTCAGGACCGATTACATTACATATCCTTCTTTGGATTTGATGTAATGGTATAACCTGCCATCCTCATGAGTGGCGGCACTATAGGTGGTAATCACCTATAAGTATCCCATAGGACAGCAGATTCGAGCTGGGATCTGCGAGACCAGCGGCCTTCCGATAGCAGCACGCATACAACTGTACTGACTTGCGACGACCGTGCGCATAACTATTACTTTCTTGCTTGTTGTACTGGTTTCTACAATAAACCTGTTAACGTGTTTGTCCATTCCATATTCCTATTAGCACGGAATATAACAGGATTATGAAAGAAATAATATATATATATATATATATATATATATATATATATATATAAAATCTTACACAACAAATCAAATATTTAATTTGCGGTATAATCTCCTGCTTGTTACGATGCATTTAATCTAGTGTTGAATATGAACCATAAATAGAAATATTCTACTGCGAAAGTTTTAGATTAAAATTCAACTAAAATTTACATGTCAGCCTATGAACTTATTGATCCACCGTTCTTTGTTCCTTACTACTCAAATGCCATTCATAGTAAGTAATTTTTTTAAAATATACTTTTTCAGGAAAATTCGCTAACGCCGATTCCTGTGTGCATTGTTGATGTTGAATATGTTCCTGAATGGTTTGGTCAACTCAGTATCATTGATGCCCGGGAAAATCTTCTTGTGTCAAACATGGAAAAACTCGCAGCCCAGTTGCAGTCAAGCTTTGAAGTTAAAAGCATCAGAAGTGATTTTGATTGGCTGATCACTAAGGAGGTAATTTTTCATATTAATCGGTATTACCCCATAAAAGGCAGTACAGCCATTAAGACGCGAGGGGTTACAGGGTGTGGAAAAATTAGGAATAGAAACATTAATAGGGAGCGAGAAGAGAAAAGAGCAATCAGTGGGACAGTAAATTGCGATTGACATTGCATTTAAATTTTTGCAGATTAAAGTTGTCTGGAAAACAAGGAGTCGAGAAGGAGCGCCATAAGCGAGAAGTGCGAGAAAAGAAACTGTTAGCATGGAATTCCTGGCTACATCTAACCAGATCATCTGTAAATTGATTACCGTGAAAGGATTTATAGAAAAGTTACAGGGAGACAACCTTATGGTGGTGGGTAAGTGAGTGAAACCGAGCTGCCAGATCAGGACCAATAATATTGCTGATTCTTCTTTGGAGTTTATCAAGGAGCTCAAGGTAAATAGCAGGAGTACCGGACTATATATGGCAGCAATATTCTAAGCATGGACGAGTGGTAGACTAATAGATATGTAAGATTCAGGAGAGAAAAATTGTCTCTCCCGACACAGTGAATCGACTTTCTTAGCAGCTGACCTAGCAATGGATTCAATATAATTTTTCCATTTCATGTCAGAGAAGACAATTTATTCTCTAGTATAGGCAATTAATTTATTTCGTATCATAGAACAATATATAACACATTTTTTAGATGAGCTCAATTCTTTCGCTCCAGCAGTTCGGATATGCCCTGTCACTTCCACAGAAACGAATCAGTCGCATTTCCCCCGTGTTCCAAAACGGGAGAAGAATGTTCCACTTAGACAGCTTTTACCTAAGTACTGCCAATTTGTGGATCAGGCTCCTGCATGTGTGCTTCCCTGAACACTGCAATCTTAACTTCTTCAAGTCAAGCATCAATCATTATCTTTTCTCCTTATTCCCAAAATCTTCACTTGCCACCACTTGCTCTTCCCTGTTAAAACAAATTAAAATAAATTTCTTCTTTAATGAGTGAGGCATTCTTTAAATCAAAATTCTGGTTGAATTTATTTCTAATATTTACTTCTAACTAATGTATTTGATAAATTGTTGTGTATAAGATCCCCTTTAAAGTATTAAAAGAAAACGGTTAAATTTATCTATCTTAATCTGTTCATATCTACCTACCTACCTACCTATCTATCTATCTATATTCACGGGACTCGATATATATAGTCACGCGGATCTATCTATATATCTTAATGTGAAACATCTATCTATCTATCTATCTATCTATCTATCTATCTATCTATCTATCTATCTCAGTCTGTTCATATCTATCTATCTATCTACCTATCTATCTATCTATCTATCTCAGTCTGTTCATATCTATCTATCTATCTATCTATCTATCTATCTATCTATCTATCTATCTATCTATCTCAGTCTGTTCATTATCTATCTATCTATCTATCTATCTATCTATCTATCTATCTATCTATCTATCTCAGTCTGTTCATATCTATTTATCTATCTATTTATCTATCTATCTATCTATCTATCTATCTTAGTTTGTTCATATATATCAGTGGTTCTCAACCTTTTTTTTTACCCATGGACCCCTTTTCCTTTCTTTTTTTCTTGGTGAACTCTTTAATAGCTATTTGACATAAGACAACAATATTCTATTTTTCACTAATAAACATTTTGAGATTTTTAATAATCAAAGAATTATTATATAATTAAGCTTTATCTTTAAATGAAAACTAATTTAATGCAAATCAATTATTCCACAATAATAATAATAATAATAATAATAATAATAATAATAATAATTTTTATTGACCAATATCTTGTATTACAATATTACAATGTTTCTTCCATGGTCAAGCCCATGAGGAGCAGAGTTCTTCAGGCAATTCAATTCACTGCAGCATTTATTTATGCACAATGAAAAAATCATATATATATATATATATATATATATATATATATATATATTGTAAATTACAGAAATTTAATTTTTAATAATAAAACCATTCTGAGTTGGCTTTCTTCATGGACCACCAAGATATAATTGTTGACCGCCAATTTGTTTTATTTTGCTTGTGAACCCCCAGAAATATTACATCGACCCCCTAGGGCATATGTGGACCCCGGTTGAGAACTCCTATATATCTATCCATCTTACTTTGTTCCTATATATCTATCTATTTTAGTCTGTTCATATCTTTCTATCTAGCTATCCTAGCCTGTTCATTATCTATCTCTCTGTATATTGATTTTCTTAGTCGGGCTTAGATGTGGCACAAGGCCGAAAGTATGGGGCACCCAGTGAGAATCGAACCCATTACTCAGTCGTAATTGATCTTGCAAGACAAGCTTTGTAACTATTACACGACGTCGAGGTTTATCTCAGTCTGTACAGATCTATCTTAATATATAGATCTCTCTTTATATATATATATATATCAGTCTGTTCATATCTATCTATCTATCTATCTATCTATCTATCTATCTATCTATCTATCTATCTATCTGTTCATATCTATCGTTCTACAAATCAATATGTGTGTATGCATGCGTGTATAGTGAAATATCATTATACACTTTGTTTTTATTCTTATTCGCAGGTCGAGAACAAAATTTCAATCAAGAATGTAATGATGCAATACAGAGAACAGTTTTTCAACGACATTTATTTAATAGAGAACAAGAATGTTTTGCGCAAATCCCCGCTCGCCAAGTGCAACAATCCCTGCAATGTACTGTTTTGTTTTGCCCCCGGTGACATGAAGTTTGCCGCCTATTTAATAAAAATCCTCTTAGAGAACATGCCTCAGATGAAGGTCCACTTATTCGATACGTCGCATCAGAACCGGCTTTCCCTGCTGGACGCGACTGACTACATCGTTATGTTTGTGTCGCCGGAATATTTGTCGACAACAAATGCGCTGGAAGAACTGACCATCTGCTTGAACCGTCAAAGGAGGAGTAAGCACCGGATCCTTCATTTTGCCTGTACCACGGAGATCCCCCAGTGTTTATCGTACCTTCAGATCCTGCCTTACAGCGTTGTCTTATCGGATTCATTCTGGATAAAAATGAAAGCAAAATATACGGCGCAAAAATATTTCGTTTTGGGTCTGGAAGGAATTTGTGGGACTTTCACTTGTGCAGAATATGAAATTGCAGCTATGAGCAAGTTTGCCCAAGATATCCTTAGTGCTGTTGTTGAAAGGTAAGACTATTTATATATCTCATATATAGTATACTAGCAGCATAGCCCGTGAATTTGTTTGCTTATGCAAAGTCTCGAAAAAACTATAAAATCCACTATTTTTTATTCAGAATGTTGTTAAAATTACTTCACGTTTTAACAAGAAAAAAAAGTTAATATTAAAAACTGCTGTTTAAGATGGAATTATTATTATTGGCATCATGGCCCGGCGTTGCCCGTGCTTGATTCAAAAATCGTACGACTCATACGGCAATCACTATCACTTGACTTAAAATATTTTTTGCCCTTCCTTGCCTTTAAAGGAGTGCCCTTTTCCATGCTGATGTTGCTACATGCCTTACTTCTTGCCTATCTCACACTGCGAATTTTTTCTAAGCTCTATACTAAACATTAAATCTGTTACGAAAAAAGAACTAAACAAAATGATTAGCTTTAAAAAGGGACTTGTAACTGGAAAAACCGAATGAAAAAAGAATGTTAACAACAAATACTTGTTCACACCCAACCCTGTTCTGCGGAATCAGAATCAACGTTGAGTTTAAGTAAGCGAATAAGCCAATTGGAGTAAAGTGCCATGCAGATTTAAATTTTTTCCCACTTGTGACGAATGCAGCTATCGATATTTTTTGCATGCTAGCATGCTAGTTAACATTCGTGTCAGTCAGCTGTTGGCTCTCACGCTGGCCAATAGAATCTTCCTGCCTATTCGTGGCAGCCAGTTATATGCTCTCACTCTGGCCAGTAGAAAATGGCCGCAAACTACATGAAAACTGCCGTAGAAGCATGAAAAAATCGATTATTTCCACTATCGATGGGAGTTGGGAAATGCAAAGTCGGTCTTGTCCTTTCCGCTAACTTGGAGCATGTGTATGTAAATTTTGGTGCAAATCCATCGAAAATTGCGGCCGTGCATTCGTTACACACACACACACACACACACACACACACACACACACACACACACACACACACATCCTGCCTTTTATAGATAGAGATATCTCATATATATTATATATCTCATATTTTATATATCTCATATATATATAAATAGGTCTCTATCGAATCTTATCAAAATATAAATCTGCACTCCAGATCTTTTCAAATATCTCCGTTCCTGAAAGAATTACTCTTATCCCAAACCAATAGGCATAAGTATAAAAATGGAAAAAAATTAAAAGAAAATTGTTAAATTCATAAACTCCTGTTATTTTTAAATATTTGCATAAAAAAAATTAACAAAATCATTCATTCACTTTCACTTAATAGTCATTAAATTATGTCACTTAGTGTTAGGGGACCTTACCCATAATAACATAATGGACTATTCCATACGTAATAAATACTGCGCCTCAAGAGGAAGCAGAGAGTTCAGTCCGAAGTCGGACGACCGGCTGATCGGCTGATCGGTTGAACTTTCTTCCTTCGGGCGGGGAGGAACCCGAACGAGGCTACGCCGAAGGGCGGATTCTCTTTCGGGGAGGTAAACCGACCCAGAACCCGTTTATAAGGGTTCAATTGGCATATTTTTGGCCGAGCCCAAGGGCTCGGAGTTCCCACGTTAAAAAGGCCTTGTGCCACATGACGCCCTCGTGGGAGGGTGACTGAATATCGTTCAGTCCGAAGCCGGGCGACCGGCTGATCGGTTGAACTTTCTTCCTTCGGGCGGGGAGGAACCCGAACGATGCTACGCCGAAGGGCGGAGTCACTTTCGGGGTGGTAAACCGACCCTGAACCCGTTTATACGGGTTCAAAGGACATATTTTTGGCCGAGCCCACGGGCTCGGAGATCCGACATTAAACCGGCCTTGTGCCGCATGATGCCCTCGTGGGGGTGTGACTAAATACTGTTCCGTCTGACGTCTAGAGTGAGGTCCGTCAGAAGTCCGTCAGTAGTCTGTCAGTCAGTCAGAGCGAGCGAGTCAGTCAGTCGAATCAGAGGCAGTCCGAAACAGAGTCGCGTTCAGACAATTACTACTAAACCTGATTGTTCGTACTAACACTTTTCTACCTCTCTGTATATATTCCTGTTTGTAATATATCTGTGTTATTCCATATCCGTATTGGAGTTCTTCTTTATTGGTTCTACCTTGGACCATGACCGTGGTACAAGGAGCCGGACCATAACACTTAGCATCCTCCATAATTTATCTTAATTTTTCAATTAACCTGATGAATATTTATGAGCGTCTCTTAAATAATTTTAAAAGATTTGAAAAACTAATATTTTTACTTTTGTTTTTACATACATGTTGCAAAATAAAAACCCCACATTTACCTAAGATAATTTAATTTTTCATTTTGTCTTTATATATATATATATATATATATATATATATATATATATGCGTATATTTCGGCAGCATATTTTCAGTAAGACAGTAAAACCGAACAAAAAGAGCTTATCCGCGAATATGAAAGGATCCTTACGCTGTAATTTTTCCTGACGATGAAGGGATGTTTCTTCGAAAGTACTTGCTTAACTTAAAAAAATATACACTAGAAACATCTGACAACAGTTTTATAAATGAGGATCACATCATTCAATGGATTAACAGTATTTTAATGCATACATTATGTTTCTACTAGGCCATTAATCGCATTAATATTGCTGATTGATTCTATGTATGATTATTTCTTTATATATATATATATATATATATATGGAAAGAAGTATGACAAAATGGAAAAAATTGATAGTTTTATGCGCACTAGATAGGTGGGTAAGAACAATAAAAGATTGTTGCTGTGACATCAATGAATATTTATTAAAATAAATTTTAATTTTATTATTACAGGGAAAAGCCTGGTGAGGACACTGGAAATCTGTTGAACATATTCAAGATACAGAAAAGATATCAGCAGGTTCCGCTGCATGAAGTAAGAAGACTTTTACTTTTTCTCAGTTTGCAAAACATAAAATTCAGACAATAGGAATGGTTAACACACAGGGAAGAATATATAATGTTAGATGCCAATTTAGCAGTTGTGCCTTTTCTCAAAGCACTCTGGGCTGATACATTCTTCATTATTACGATTATTTTATTACTAGTTTTATTCCATCTTATTATTGTTGCTTTTTATCGCAACACTCTGGCTCAATAAACTCTTCATTATTACTATTATTTTATTACTAGTTTTACTCTATCTTATTATTGTTTGTTTTTATCCCAACACTGCAGCAATAAACTTTTCATTATTAATATTATTACTTTATTTCTATTTTTACACCATCTTATTATTTTTGCTTTTTATCGCAACAGTCTACCTCAACACTATGGGTCAATACAGTCTTCATCATTCCTGGATCATGAGTTCTTCTATAGTTTATTGTTGCCTATTGCATTTATTCCTCCTTACCTATTGTGATGAAGGTCCAATCAAGAGACTTCCGCAGGCACCAGTAATTGAAATTTATATAAAAATGAAAATTGAATAAAGAATAAATAAATTGAATTGCTATTGAAATCCAAACGATGTGTTGAAACATAGACAGTACCACAAATTTCAACTTGAAAAAAGGAAGTCAATAGACAGATACCCCAGCCCTCACTTTGACTTGACTGACATATTCATGAGTTTTCTAAATAAGTTAAATCTAACATCCTTAAAATATAAAAGATTTAATTTTTCCTTAATTCCAACATCTCAAAATATCAAATTTGTCTGGATTTATATATTAAGTAAATCAATTTCCAAAAAGTTATTCTTAGCATCGTTTGATAATGGAACGGAACTTTGTATTTTAAGTTTAATTTTTATGATTGAATTTGAATTGAAGTTTCAGTTTTGAAACATGGGAATTTCGGTGTTGCGATGATAATATATTAAAAAAAAATCAATTATAATATATATATATATATATATATATATAGGATTAATACAAATATAAAACTTACTTAACTGATTGATGTTATATTCAGCACCTCTACGCCAGAGTTTCGTAAACATATTTTTGTATAATATCGTTCGATGCATTCGTCAGGAGGTATTAGCAATTGTCTGTTGATTTTCTTATTTTCATTATTTTTATATTTAGTTAAAAAAAAAACCTGTGATTTTTGTATTGGTGTTAGCTTGATTTTTCCACTTCTTTATGTGCGTGTGTATATTTGTATACGTGTGTATGTGTGTATACGTATGTATGCGTGCGTATATACACATCTGTAGGATGTCATGTTATTTCTTCTTTTCATATTTTTTCTTGTCTGCTTAGACTCTCTCGAAAATTCCTTTTCTTTCTATTGTCTATTTTTTGGCTCTGAGTGTCAAAATATAATGTAAAACTGTTATATCCGATGTCAGAGACAGAACTTATTTTTTGGCTAATTTTTGTTTTTGAATATTCTGTGGTTTTCTAAACTTTGAAAATATAGGTGTCTTATGTTTTATCTTTTGTTTAAATATATATTTTTTGATTGCTGCTTAAATGGTATATATATATATATATATATATATATATATATATATATATATATATATATATACCCCCAAGCAAGATGATAATGGCACTAAGACGCAAGGGGATCTACTGGGAGTGAAAGAGAATGCGAAAACATTAGAAGGAACCGTAAACACTATCCTAAACAGGAAACAATGGATTAACCTCTACTCCTGTTCAAAAAAACTGGGAAGGAGTGTGAATTGGATAATAAACTGCTTTATTTATTATTATTTAAAAATATTATTTCATCGCGACAGAAATTCCAATGTTTTGGAACTAAAATTATTGTTCCATTTTTCAAGTAATATTCAATAACTTCAGCTATATATATATATATATATATATATATATATATATATATATATATATATATATATAAATTGGATCGAATAAAAAAAAGACACATAGATTAAAAAAGAAAATCATAATACTGTGGCATACATCCAATTACAAATATATGCACTATTTTATGTATGGCCGGCTACCAGGCGGTTACGAGAAAACTCGTCTGCTAGACGCCTGCGCAAATCATCTATGGTTGATAATACCACTATGCTGAGCGGATTTTAGTTACAGTCACTGGGAGAGAGCCTATCATCTGAGTAAGAGTACTTGTATAAGAGAAAGTGAGAGAGAAAGAGAGAATGGAAGAGAGAGAGAGAATGGAAGAGAGAGAAGGAGAGAGAGAAAGCAAATAATTTTTATGTCCAAACAAAAGGAGGAATATGAAATTTGTAGGAGTGTTGATTTTAGGCAGGAGAGAAACTATGAATTAATTTCAGCCATATACATAATTCATAAATATAAAAATGAAAAGAAAAATAAGACTCTACATGACAATTTAAAATGGGCGAGGAACTGGGATCTCAAGGGGGAAGAGCTTGACGAGAGACTCTGCGGATTAAAACTTCGAAATGATTACAAATTGACCCTTAAAAATTATCAAACAGCTTAGGGTAATTCTGCATTACTTACTATTTATAGAACATATAATGTGCCAGTCAGTAACTAAGGGGAGACTACTCTGAAATTTTTCTGAACATTGAACAACTTTATAAAAGGCTTGCTAAAAATCATCAATCATAATCTTCACTTGCTACCTCCTCCTCTTAAGTTCATATTACATACCTGATAAAGCAACCGTTTACCTTGAGTAGCCCTTGCACTGGGTGAATGATTCATTGACTTACCTGTTTTGGGGGTTTTTTTTTTACGCCGTATCAAACCTTTGTGGGTTACCGATCAATATTTTAGATCATAAGAATAATTCATCTTTTTTTTGAGAGCGAATATCTTGAGAATAGCAATGATTTTTGCAGATGCAAGTCCTACTATTTACCCCCATAGCTCGGAGATGGATTTATGTCTTTCCCAGGGGCGTTTGCGCGTAAGTGAATGTAACAAACCCGACTGAAATTCGAACTCGACTCTTCAATTTCTCAGTTCGAGCCGCTATCTATTACACGACCCACACATCCTGTACTTAGTGAATATTAGTAAAAAAAATATTTCTTTCAGATTGTAAATTATTTTCTCTGAGTTTTTTTTTACTAAATAAAATGGATTTCGGTTAAATTGTACATCAGTGACCAAGAAAAACCGCTTAGCGGACCAAATTTTCAAGGATGAAATCAAAGTTTTAAATCAGATTGTCCTTTTTATAGAAGTCCGTTTAAAGGGAAAAACCGCTTATAGGGTCCAAAATTCGCTGTACCGATGTGTTCCGTTTTACCAAAACCCATTGCATAACATTGAAGGATTTGTATTCTTATTTCTTTATTTTAATTTTAATTTTCTAATCACAGTGCCTGGTGTCCGAGCTTCGAAATTGCGGAGAAAATATAATTTCAACAGAAAAGAGAAATACAAATTCGTGCGAGACACTTGAAGATAAGACAACGGAAGCCGATGTCCATATTGCAAACAACTCCAACAATGGAAGCGAAGATAAAGAAACATTTAAAAATGATGTAATGCTGCCTGACGATGACATAGAAAAAGGCATCAATAAGAAAGACAGTAAAGAAGAAATAGTGACACCTGAGGATACATTGAATTTATCCGAAGGAAAAAATGAGTTACCTTTGGAAAATGATAACGAAAATACCTCTACCTTTGTGGCTGGCAAACGAGCTTCGAAAACTGAAGTTATGTTGGGGAACGAGAGTTTAGAAGAACCGAATGTATTGGGAACTGAGAAAATTAAAGAAGGTGTGACAAACTCAAAACCCAGTGAATTGGCTGGGGTTAGCGATAAGAAAAGAAGCCTCACTCCTGATAAAGAGGCAGCGAAGAAAGATGGTTTCAAGGACACAGAAAAAGAAGAAAACGTCGGGGTTTCGTTTCCAGACGCAGTCGATAATTCATTTAGAACAGAAAACGAAGATGGTTTAAGTCAGGGTAAAAACGAAAACAGAAGTAGCTTAAATATTATCTGTGATCCAGTTAACACTACGGAAACAGACAATGGAAAAGATATATGCAACGTTCGTTCTAAAACAAACACTGTAAGTAAGGTTAGTATATGTAAACTGTTGTGACGCAAGCTTCATGGCAAAGAACCTTTACATAGTTTGAAGGTATACATCGTTTTATTGCATTTCGCTTTGTTGCACTTCGTAAATACAGTCCAACCTTATTAGTCTCACTCTCATGGTCCGGCAACTCCCATGTACCGGCAACTCCCATGTACCGGCACCTTTTTGAATCAGCCGCCATTAGTTCATTGAGCAGTTACGAGAACAGGGCTACACACTTTTTACAACTTTCCGCAGCAGCCGACAGCAGCAGAGTGTGCGTGTGTGTGTTTTTTTAATACGGTCTTTGCTCATTTTTTATACAGTGTGCCACATAATGACGCGTAAAAAATTTAACTCCCTACCAGATCTAAATTCTTGTACCAAACAGAAAAAAAACTTTTGCGCGCCTTATAAATAACTAAGTCAGGATAACATTTACAGATATATTACAAAAAAAAAAAAAAGGGATAACTATCGAAGATGAAAAAAGAGAAAGTAATTCAAAATGTCAGAAAAAGAAAGGTGCAACCAGCTTACAGAAAAAAACAAAAACAAACAAACAAAAAAAAAAAACCGAAAATCCTTGCCTTTAATTGTTCCACGAGCGTCTCTGGGACATATAACAATTTTGGAAATGGCTTTTTTATATTCACACTGTTCGTGCTTGGGAAAATTTCTTTGAATTCTTTTTTTTTATTTTTCGTTGTCCAAACGCAGGAGAATTTTCACTTGAACTTCAAAATTCTTTTGGGATCTCTGCATCTGGCTTGTAACTCTGTACCTTCTTGTTGCTCTCTTCTTGATGTCAAATGCCTTCTAAGTGATCTTTTCTTGATGCCCATAACCTTCGGCCCTTATCTACTGACCTAAATTGTATTTATTTAAAAAAAGAGGCTCCATCCAAGTTTTCACAACGGCTTGAGACCATTTCGCTCATTGGCCAAAAATACGAAAAAATATTTTTCTATAAACTCAAAATGGACTTTTAACAATTTTGGCGGTTTTTAACCGCTGAGCCTAATATATATATATATATATATATATATATATATATATATATATATATATATATATATATATGTGAAAAGTGTATATAAATATAAATAAATATATATATGTATAATTATTTATATATTATATGCGCGGTACTTATTAGAAAGCGCTCAATATCAGAGATAGAGCTAACATATTTGGTTGGATAGATGCTTTCACGCTTTAGCGATCGTCAGACGATCGCAAAAAGCGAAAACCCAGGGTCACAAACTCACATCTATCCAACCAAATATATATATATATATATATATATATATATATATATATGTTATAATTTTTACACAAAATGAAAATACACTTCTATCAAAAGACCGTGTACAAAAAAACAACCAAGACGATTAAACATTATTAGACCAAAGACTAATAGTAACAAAAATATTTTTTTATAGATGGGACACGTTTTAAATACCAGTATCTTGTATTATAAAAATGACATAAAGTACCAAATATAGTTTTAACATAAACTGATATACAAGAGTTCAACATATTATATAAGATGTGAATATTGCATGCCTGAGATGGTCACAATCACGAAGAGAACATGCACGATCTCACTCTCTCATTTCAAACACAGTCGACATTGCTTGTCTCACGGAAGTTTATAACAGCATGCAGGATCACCTTTTGGTGTCTGTCGCTTTCCAAAATGCAGTCGGAATTCTCTTTTGGGCTGCAAAGATGGATCTTTGGTAGGTAAAATATACTTCCACGATGTATGTAATTTCTTTATTGCGTCCACGACATTATGAGGGCTCACCGTCAGCAAAAGAGATACCTGTAGGAAATAGCAAAATCTTAGATAAAATGTTGAACTCTTGTATATTAGTTATGTAATGTGATGAACTCTTGTATATTAGTTATGTAATGTGATGAACTCTTGTATATTAGTTATGTAACAAATATATTTGGTACTCTATGTTATCTTTGCAATCCAAGATACTTACATTTACAATGTGTGCCATAATGATGGGACACTTTATATACAACTGCATATTTACCCATTCAGGATAGTTAGCATTTGGTTTTAACATCTGTCGATATTTCCGAGATGAGGTATTTTAATTAGTTACTATTTACATTGTTCGGACAGTTGTCTTCATCTTCGTTGCCATATTCACGACGTTTCGGCCGACGTTTCAGGTGATTGGAATTTAGAACTGAACCCTTTATTTCGTCCACCGGGGTAGATTGTTCTAGTTCCACGTGCCATGCCTCTTCCAGATCTCTCCGCATCAGTTATCGCCTCAATAACTCAACTCTCCAAGTTTTTGTTCAGGTATTGAACTCACAACTCTTTGTATCAAGTCACTGGATTACAAGCAACGCTTATATCCACTGGGCCATGTGTCCTTAAGAACATCAGTGCATGAATGTTTGGGACTTATAGACCTAAGAGCCCATATTACAATTTTGTTGTTGTTATTGTTTTTCTCCAGCACTCCGTATTACTGGTTCCCATATTGTATTCATTTTTATGCTTGGCCGGCTTATGTGATTTTTGTGGCCTAGCATATGTGCTGATTCCTTAAGTTTTCGTATTTTCCAGTGATGTTCTCTGTCTATTATTTCAACCTCATCCCACATATCTTTTCCCCTCTATTTGTGGTCAGCTACGCCTGATTTTTCTATTTCCCCTCGTGTTACGGCTTCACGGTGTTCCTGAAGCCTTATCTTAAGGTGGGGGCGACCTGTTTCTTCTTTTAATCTTAGGTTTTTTTTTAGCATTTTTATATTGCATGAAACAATAAAAACCTTGATTAGAAGCTTTGTTCCGCTTTTAATAACACAGCAATATCTATTTGTGAAATGAGCTGGCAAGACTATGTTTTATACAGGGATTTCTTTTTTTTAGGTGTGATTTCTGTCATCCGGTATTTTCTGTGGTCAGGCAGTGGTCTGTTCTCAAGGGAGACAGACTAAACAGATCGGACTGTATGGCGTATTTTTTTTTTTTTAAATTTAAAAATTTTTATGGCAACCCGGTGTCGAGAAAATTGATCAGCGCCGTTTCACCAGTCGCATTCACTAACTTCGAGTGTTTATGTAACATTTTGCTAATTTTTGCAGTATTTTAATTTAAAGCAGTATTTTAATCCATTTAATTTTTTAAGCCATATCCCATCAGGACCTATGTGATCATGGCTCTCTACAGCTTTCTTTTATGATCTATGAATTACCATTATCTCGTGATAGCAGAATGTTTACTTTTCCACGGTTTATGCTTCACAATGTTCCTTATCTTAGAATGGATAGCACTCAGAATTATAGAGACTAAGTCTTCTCGACTTTTCAGGCCACAGCTAGTGGGGTGGGGCAGTGAGAGAGCGTGCTTCTTCCCAAGGGTATTTTTGCGAAAATGACAGCAACACCCTAGGCTGGAATTTGAACTCGAGTCACTGATTTAACTCTTCATGTCCATGGGTTTTGCGCTCTTTTCATTATTTTATCTTATTTTATTTTTTTAATAACACATCTCTTCGGGACTTAGGCGGTCATAGTCCGCCATAGATTCAACTTCTATCTTCCATATCCATTCAGTACGTAGACGATAATGGCTCTCCACAACTTCCTGCACTTTTGTAGCCCTTAGTAAAGTTTGTGTCTCCTAATCCTCCTACCATTTACACAGGGTCGTTAGTTAGATTATGCGCTGTTTTCATCTGTCCCTCTTGCCTTCAATCTGCCCTGTGAGTGTCCATTTCTCCAAGCCCTCTATTCTTATTATGCACCTTAGGAATTCCAACTGTCTCTTTCTGATGCCCCTTTTGTTCCCGTTTCTCTAAAACTTCGTCCTTGCTCTGTAGAACCACATTTCTGTTGCCTTAAGTCTTTTCTTCATCTGTGAGGAGATTGTCCAGCATCCACTGCCATATAGGACTGGTGTTACGCAATAATTCAGTATTTGTTTCTAACGAAATTTTCCTGTTCTTAATACTTTTTTTAGTTTTTGGAAGGCATCTTTCGCTTTCCTGATGCTATGCATAAGTGACAGTTTTGTTTCCAATTTCTCTTAAACTTCGACGTTGCTCACATGTTCAGTCTATGATATTCTCAGCATCCTTCTGTAGAACTCCACCGATTCATTTATTATTATTTCTTTATCATCTGTGAATTGCCATGGTTTCTTGGGGATGACAGCAGAATGGTTTCCCGTTTCCTTCTCCACGGTTTGAAATTATTCATGGGTTCGGGACCAATATTAATTTCAAATGTCTACTCTAAACTGGGTTAGTAGCATTTGTTAGGGCTCCCAGCAATGAACCCCAACCTCAAACAAAAAGAAAACGTTATGAAAGTATAAAAATAGAATTTTTTAGTAAAACTACCAGAAATACATTTTAATATAAAAAGTTACCAAAAATACATTTTATCTGTAGTTGAAGGCATACAATTGTGTTCAAAATATATTTAGTTTTAGCCATAAAATCATGTTCAAAATATTTAGATTTTAAATAACACATAGAGATTGATATGCCGCTAAACAATATCAGCCAATCATTGCTTTAGTGTTTCTTAACATTTTAATTCAGGGAAAAATAAAATATAACCAAACAATTTAAATTGTCTTTCTTCTGTCTTTACTTGATGTTCTAATGGTCAGACACACGGAAAATTATGACTACACCAGAATTGCTGATGGCTGCCGTTGATAGACCGTTGTGGAGGTGTTTCAATATGGTTTCTACATTTGGATCCCTGCTACGATTACAAAAATCAAGAGGAGGAGGAGGAGGAGGATGATGATGATGATGATAAAATGTTAGACGATATTGTAAGGGGAGTGAGCTTGGAAGAAAGATTTATTCTCCCATTTGTATTTCTCCCGTTATGGACATTATTATATCTGTCGTTTAATCACACCATACTTCACGGACGGAATGGAATGTCTGAAAGGAAAAGCACTGACAAACATGCTTTGTTCCCAGAGACAGTTTTATAATGCTACGTTGTACACAAAGTTAGATATA